TGAGTTGGAGCTGTGATTCCCTGCCTGTGAGCCAGAGCTGTGGTTCCCTTTCTGTGAACTGGAGCTGTGGTCCTCTCCTGTGGATTGAAGTCATGATCCTCTCCTGTGAACTGGAGATGTAGTTCCCTCTTATATGGGCTGGAGCTATGGTCCTCTCCTATGAGCTGGAGCTGTGATTCCCCTCCTGTGAACTGGAGCTGTGATCCCCCTCCTGTGAGCTGGAGCTGTGGTCCCCTCCTGTGGACTGGTCCTGTCCCTCCTGAGAGCTAAAGCTGTAGTTCCCCTCCTATAAATTGGAGCTGTGATCCCCTCCTGTGAGTTGGAGTTGTGGTCTTCTCCTGTGAGCTGGAGCTGTGGACCACTCACATGAGCTGAAGCTGTGGTCCCTTCCCATGAGCTGGAGTCCTGGTCTTCTCCTGTGAACTAGAGTCATGGTCCTCTCCTGTGAACTGGGGCTGTGGGCCCCTCCTATGAGCTGGAGTAGTGGTTCCCTCCTGTGAGCTGGAGCTGTGGTTCTCCTCATTTGATCTGGAATTCTGGTCCTCTCCTGTGAGCTGGAGTCATGATCCTCTCCTGTGAGCTGGAGCTGTGGTTCTTCCTATGAGCTGGAGCTGTGGTTTCCCTCCTGTGAGCTAGAGTAATGGTCTTCTGCTGTGAATTGGAGCTGTGGACCCTGTGAGCTGGAGCTATGATCTTCTCCTGTGGGCTGGAGTCCTCTCCTATGAGCTAGAGTTGTGGTTCCCCTCCTGTGGGCCTCTCTTGTTGAAATGGAGCTCTGGTTCCCCTCCTGTAAGCTGGAGCTATGGTTCTCCACCTGTGAGCCAGAGCTGTGGTCCCCTCCAATGAGAAGGAGCTGTTGTCCCCTCCAGTGATCCGGAGCTATGGCCCCCTCCTGTGAGAGGTAATTGTGGTACACTCATAATAATATGGACTCCCAGTCCTAGGAGGGATGATCAGAATGAACTGTGCTGGGTCAGGTATTCACCCACTGTTGAAGATTAATACATCTTTCAACTCTCGCTGGAGAGGTTTTCTTATGCAGCAGATGGTGATTGACACAGAAACTTACGGCTTTCTAATGTGCAGGGAGGAAGGGGCTGCAGAGTGTTTATCTCTGGGTGGGACGCCTCTGTCAGGCTTCAGAAGCTCAGGACTTGGGAGTCATTGCAGAGGAGGGGGTGGAGGGATTATAAGAGCCAGAGGTGGTGGATGACCATGGGGATAGGGAGGGTGGGGGGGAGGAGTTCTCCAGACAGCTGGCCAGTGTCTTATATAAACTCACAGCAATGTTGACAGCATGCACAAGTCCTATCCAAGCTCAAGTGGATGAGCCCATATTGGAGAACACTGGGGGATCCAAGTTAGACTCTATAGGCTTTATTACCCAGAGAGAATATATTGAATTAAGTGTATGTGTGTGGGGGGGAATGCAGGGAGGTGTGGATGGGAGAGGGGATATAAATGCCATCAAAGTATATTGTCTGGAAATCCAAAAATTCAATAAAAATGCTAAAAAAATTAACAAGATTATATTGAAAAACTGTATACTGGGGAATTTGGAAATGGAGTGAATGCCAAATATAAAGCAAAAGTAATACATTTCACAGTATTTTTGAAATGACAGTACATTTTTGTCAGTAAATAATTCTAAAAAATTATAGTAGACATGTAGAATTGAGAATTAATTCCATGCAATTACAATTTGTCAATTCTTGGGATTATTTCCTGTGCTATATTAATTCTTTTCGGTAAGGTTCTTGCCTTTGCCTATATCCTGAAGTATTTTCTTATAGTAATTCCAGAGTTTCAGGTCTTAAATCCATTTGGAGTTGGGGTTCTGTGTGTGTGTGTGTGTGTGTGTGTGTGTGTGTGTGTGTGTGTGATGCTGTTTTATTACTAAGGTTCTATGGTATAGATTGAGATCAGGCATTGTAATGCTGCAGTGTTGCTCTGCCTGCTTAGGATTTCTTTGATTATTCAGGATCTTTTGTTTTTCCACATGAGTTTAAATAGTTTCTTCTATTTGTGAAGCATGTCCTTGGGGTCTTGATGGTTCTATCTTGAATTGGTAGATTACTTTCGTTAATAAATTCATTTTCACAATGTTCTGCAAATACATCTGACAGGGGATTAATAGCTAGAATTTAAAAAGAACTTCATAAATTCAAAGCATACAACCAATAAATAGGCAAAATAATTGAATAAATTTCTCAAAGGAGGAAATACAAATGATCAACAAATACTTGGAAAAGTGCTGAATCTCCTTAGTCACAAGAGACATGAAAGTTTAAAGTTCTTTGAACTTTCATTGTCCCTCAATCAGAAGAGCTTTCATCCAGAAAGAAATCATGACAAATGCTGGGAGAGGCTAGGAAGAAAGGAGAACCCTTTATACTGCTGATGTGCAGCCACTGTGGATGTCAGTATTCAGGTTCCTCAAAGGCTGACATAGAGCTACATATGTTACAGCTATACCACTCCTAGTAGGAACCTGAAGGATAGTCAGAATAACACAAAGATACTTGTGTAGCCATATATATTGCTGCAGTATTCACAGTAGCCAAGATACGGAATGAGCCTAATACCCATCAATATTTTGAGGGGAGGATGGGAACCACCAAATGTGGAGGGGGAGGGTAGTTTCCTTCCTCCTCCCAAAAGAGGGAAGTGGGGGTGAATAAAGACAAATATAATGATATATATGTACGAAAATGAAACCTATTTTTTGCACGCTAACCAAAATGATTAAAACACCAATTAAATTAAACATGAATTAAAAATATCAATTAAATCACATGTGAAAGAAGAGGAAACTATAAAAATGACTTCACTCGTGTTGAAAAATAAAGAAGTTATTTGTAATTGTACACACATTTGTGATCTGTAATTGAGGACAACTACAAGCTGTTGACCTTTGATATCTTTGTTTCTAGGTTGGTAATGGATGAGACTTCATGAATCAGTGGTGGGAGGAATGTTAGAAAATTGAAAGAAATTGCACTGAGGGTAGGGGAGTGTGCAGAACAAATATGTATATATACATACATATATACATATACACGTATGTACGTATACACATATGCACACACATACATACATATATACATATACACACATATACAGATATACACATGTACACATATACACACATACAAACATATACACATATACATACATATATAAAATATGTATATATACACATATACACACGTATATATAATTTGTAGAATATGTTTTTGGTTATAATAATCCAAGCAGAGTTATGGCTACTGTGAGTCTTGTAAAATCTATACTCCAACTCCCAATCTTTAGAAGAAATAGACAGTGAAATATACACCCTGCTTATGAAAGACAGCAGCTCTTACAGGTGTTGTCTACTGAGCATATGTGAAGACAGAGAAAGAGAACCAACTCTTGTTCACCAAAATTCTCAGAAACTGCCAGTCTGGCTGTTCTACTTAAAGAGTTTGGTAGTTGTCATTTTGAAAGAGAAGCGGAGCTATCATGTATGATTTTTTTTATTAAAGTGTTTATATTTTTCTTTGGTAATATAATTTGTAAAGAGCTGACATATTTGTTCTCAACTGTGCTTTAAAATAGACAATGTAACTGGGCATGGTGGCACATGCCTTTAATCCCAGCACTTGGGAGGTAGAGGCAGGTACGCTTCTGTGAGTTCAAAGCCAGCCTGTTCTACATAGTGAGTTCCAGATCAGCCGGGGCTACAGGGAGATCCTGTCTCAAAAAAGCAAAAAAGCAAGCAAGCAAACAAGCAAACAACAAGCAAAGACAATGTAGCACCTGTTTCCTTCCCCAGGTTGACAAAGGAGAGAGTCTGACCTGAGGCATTCTGTAGCTCACAGGCAAGAAATGAAGAGGTCAAGTAGGTGGATTTAAAACAAGATGTCATTTTATTCTGACTTTAGGTACACAAAAGTTGAAAAATTAGTTCAGAAAATGTCTATAGATCCACCTGTGTTTCTCCAACATTGACATCTTACATAAACATGAAAAAGAATTATTGTTGGTGGACTACTACTAAAAATTTTGTTTGAATTTCAGTGGTAACCAAACGGTTCTTTCTCTAGAACTGTATTCAGGATTGTTCTTTAAAACTTTTTTTTGTTTTTGAGAAATTTATACATCTATACAATGAAATATAATTGTATCTCACCCCCACTTTCCCTTCCAACTCCTTCCGTATCCCCATAATAGGGCCCCCTCTGAATTTCATGTTTTTTTTTTTGTCTTTTTGAGACAAGGTCTCCCTGTAGCCACAGCTGACTTGGAACTTACTATGTAGACCAGGCTGGCCTTGATCTATGAAGAGATCCACTGCCTCTGCCTTCTGAATGCTGGAATTAAAGACATACACCACCATACCCAGCTCAATGCTTGACTGGATTCCACATCCAGTCAAGCTGATGACTAAGCTTACTTAACCATTGCAGACTAATGATTATCATTTTATGCTTGGAGAAGTTTCTGATGGGGCTTCTGCAGCTCTGTGTGGGAGCTAAGTACTCAGTTTCTGCCCACAGAGTGTACGAGAAATAGCCCCAAAGTGGAGGGTACACTAGCTCTGGAGACTGAGGGCTTAGGGAATTCTGTAGAGCCACAGTGATCACGGGCACCTGCCCAAATGTGACTTTTCTGTATGTTAATTTTCAATATTTTCCTAACCAAGGCACCAACTTTTATGTAACTGGCCTACTTTGGTCGATAATTCATGTGAGGCTCAGCAACTACCAGATCCTTGGTTTGGCTCTCTACTGTGTTCGCTACCCTCAACAGCAAGAGAATATTATGAGGGATTTTAACTTACCAGAATAGATACTGAGTGAAAGAATGGGTGACTATTATTTTCAAAACATTTTCCAGGGTCTGCAGTTTTGGGTTTTTTCCTGGTAGCTCAGCTCTGATGTAGCAGTGATCAGGTCATCTGAGCAATTGTCAACACTGCTAAAGAAGCTTTCACTGGGACTAATATTGACACTTACCATATCAAGCTTGCCTCGGTGCTCAACAAGGCTGGAGAAAGCATAGGCTGTGATCACACAGGTGACAAGGGACAAGTAGGTGTTGACGATCGCTCTATACTGCTTTTCTCCAGGTTCAGCGATGACTGAATTAAAACTGGGCCAAAATATCCACAGAAAAAGTGTCCCTGTAAATCATAAACACAGCTTAGTAGGGAAGACCATGTCAGAGGGGCAGTTTGCTTTGGGCACTGATACTATTTATGGTTTTAGGCTTTGTTATGTAAGAATGAGGGACAAGGGAAAGCACTGAGCCACCATAAGCACAGCCATCTCCAAAGGTAGCCAGCCCCTTTCTGAGTATCTTCACAACCCCGTTGAAGTTAACTTTCCATCAGTTCTCATCAAATAGACACGAATATGGCAAGCTCATCCCACTCACCGATCATGGCGAACAAGTCAGAGTGGTATACAGATTCTTCATTCTTGTGTTTCTGTCTCAGACCAGATCGATATAAGATGCCTGCTACAGCTAAGCCAAAGTAGGCCCCAAAGGCGTGGATCGTCATCGATGCCCCAACATCTGAGGCCTGTGCAGACAAAATGACATTTGTGTAAAGGGAGGTGAACCTGGGTCTTGTTATAGGAGGAAAGTCAATGAAAGAATTGTTTCAAAGAGAGAGGGAAGGAGTAAGGGAGGGAGGGAGAAAAGGGAGAGAGAAAGAGAGAGAGAGAGAGAGAGAGAGAGAGAACAGGAATGCTAAACTAAAAAGTACTATAAGCATTTGAGACAGGCAGAGCTGGCTTCTAGGTCACGTACTTCTAGTGATGTCACTGTTGACAACTTACTGCTCTTCTCTGAATCTCAGGTTTTGTAGATGAGGATGAATTACCCTCCTAATAGAGTTAGGTTGATGGTCAGATGAAGGCATATTCGTGAAGAGCCAGATCCTTAGAGGGAAGTCAGTAGATGCTAGGCTACTTTTTTAGGTTTGAGAGATTCTCAGTGAACTATTATGTATTGCATTTGACACATAACAAAAATGATTTACATTTCTTTGACATTGCAGTTAAAGCTCATTAAAAAAAACCCCTTAAATTACAATTGTTTATTTACTTGTACACACATGTGAAAGTGTGCCAGGTGGAGGATAACTGTGGACTCGGTGCTCTTATTTCACTATGTGGGTCTCAGGTATTGAACTCGGGTTATCAGCTTTGGCAGCAAGCACCTTTATCCACTGAGCCATCACACTGACCCATATTGAAATTCATTTACATGCAGCTCAAAGACTTGATCTTTAAAAAGGTCAGTGCTTTCCCCTTAATACTTCATTCTCCTTTATAACAGTATAAAAACCAGCTGAAGCCCAAGACTGATTTGAAAAGATAGATTTTATTCCCTTTACAGGACTTGGTATGGGTTTAATCAAGTATTTTTCCATTTTCTTCCTCTAGAGAGAAAATTCAGGGTGCTAAGGCTGCAACACCGCCCTACACATACTGAGACAGGAAAACATTATATGTTTATGTAACATTCATTGTTACTTCCTCTCAGAACCCTTGCTTGCTTTTTCAATCTAAACTCAGTAGTCTTTCTTAGTACCTCCATTTGCCACTATGCATTTTCTGTGTCTTTGGGTGGGTGGGCTATATTATAGTTTGGCAATATGCTGTTCCCCAGGGTTCACATATTGAAGCCTTGGTCTGCAATGCAGCAGTGTTCAGAGGTGTGACTTTTAGGAAGTGATTGCGTCATGAAGGCTCAGATATCTTCAGTGGATTAATCCAATGAAAGGTTCACAACTGAATGAACTGTTAGGAGTTGGTGGGAAGCATCTTACTGGGAGAGTGACTGTGTCCCCAGCTCCTTTCCCTATGCTTCCTGCCCACCATGGCGTGAGCTGCTTTGTTCCACTGCATGCTCCCCAACATGAAGGTCTGCCTCACTATGGACCCAGAAATGATGGAGCCAGTGACTATGAAACCCGTGAAAACGTGAGTCAAAATATACTTTTCCCCTTCGATTGACTTACTCAGATATTTTGCCTCAAACAAAATTAACAGAGTAAATGTATAATTATTTGACTTTTGTCTAACTCATACACTATAAGCTCTATAAAGACAGAAACCTTAACTATTGCATTTGTTGCTAAATCACCAAAACTTAGGGGATTAAAATATTTGGCTTTGAATTTAATGTTGAACACAAATATAAATAAATGACAGAAAAATACAGGAGAGTGATCAGAAATAATCTATTTGTTATCTTTGGGAAAATCAATGAAATTTTCATGAAGCAGAACAATTTTATTTTTACAGGGTCTCCCTGGAAGGAACTCGCTATGTAGACCAGGCTGGCCTCGATCTCAGAGATCTGCCTGCCTCTGCCTTCTGAGGACTGGGATTAAAGCTGTTCACCACCATGCCCGGCATGAGAAGAAGAAATTTGACCTATGCCTTAACCCACACCTATGTAAGGCTTTATACAGGGTTATTCACCTAACAATAAAGTATAAGTAGGAATTAGTAACTAAGGTTGACAGGCAATACAGTGTAATAAAAAGAGAGAGTTAGAAAAAATGTTTAAATCCAGGCTCAGGTGAATTATTTAATCTGTGATCATTTTGTCATGTATAAATTGTAATAACAATGATAACCATCTTTCATAGTTTTGTGAAGATGAAATGATATAATGTGTAAAAAAAAAACCCAGTTTTGCAACAAGCACTCAGTAAGTAATGGGCATTTTGGCTATTTATTCTTTAATCACTCTCATTAAGGTTTGTCCTTATGTAGAGCAGGCGACCATGGCATATGGTGGTCAGAGCTGAGATTCAGAACAAGAAAAGTATAAATCTTCTCTCCTTACCTCAAATATAGTAGTAACCAGATATTCATTGCCAGCAAAGACAGCAATTTCTAGAATTGTCATGATCAGCATTTGGATGGGACTTGTTTTCCCCAGGACAGCTCCAAAAGAAATCAGAACCGTGGCTGTACTGAAGTCTGCATGTATCATACTGAGGGAGAAAGAAAGAATCAATTGAAGGGCAACGTACACCAAAATAAAGCTGTAAACTAGAAGGTTAAACTGTGGTATTAATTCCATTCATGGGAGCCTCACCCTCAATGACTTTATCACCTTCCAATTTAGGAGTTGATATTTCATCATATGAACTTCAATGTGGGGGTGCAGACACTCACAGTCAAAGATGCTCACCTTTTAATTCCAATGTGAAATTTCTTTCCATGGGTGTGAAGGAGCCCCTGCAGAATGGTACCCCACTGGAGGCCCAGAGCAGCAATGAAGAGGTTGAAACCCACACCACTGAAGCCGTATTTCTTCAGGAAGGTCATGAGGAAGCCAAATCCAACAAATATCATGACATGCACATCTTGGAAAACTGAAAAGGCAGGAGGAAAAACGTTTGAATAAAAAGCACAAGTCACATCATCTCATTTAGTAAATTGAGTGTATGTCGTTTGTAAATGTTTTCCACCTTTGTATAAAAACTGAGCAAGGAGAGCAGTAACTGACAATGAATGGTGACCATTGTTATCCTCTGCCTGGTATTACACTCATTGATGTTGCCTGGGATGCCCAGGACTAGGTAAGTATAAAGCCATCAACACTGGGGCTGCACACTGGTCACAAGATCTTGCTACGTTATTCAGTGTTCGATCCTTCTCTTGGACAACTATGAACTACTCTATTGTGTTTTTTCATCTTCTTCCTGAAGAACTTTTGAAAAATGGTTTTCCACCCAAAGGAAGGGGGCTGGTTAGTTTTTGCCAAATTTATACAGGCATGCCTGAGAAGAGGAACTCAAAACTGAGGAATTACTTCCAATAGGCTGACCTGTGGTCATGTCTGGGAATCATTTTCTTAAATTGCTAATGTAGGAGGGCCTAACCCGTTGTTGGTGGTACCAACCCTAGACAGGTGGGCCTGGACTATATAAGAAACACAGCTGAGCAAGCCAGGGGAAGCAAACAAGTAAGCAGTGTTCTTCCATTGTGTCTGCCTCAGGTCCTGCCTTCAGGTTCCTGCTTTGAGCTCCTGCCCTGGGTTCCTTTCAAAATGGACTGTGACCCTAGTTGCTTTGGACATGGTCTTTATCACAGTAGCAAACAAGTAACTAGAACAGAAAGCATTTCAGAAAATGGTGCAAATGCCATCCCTTATTAAAAGATTTTCCCAATACTTCAAGGGAAAATGAATATTTTTTATTATTTACATCGTTTTCTGTATATGCCTCAGCTTCACTTGTCACACTGTACTAAGATTTATTTAGCAAGCACAACACCGTAATAAGTAGTCAAGGTAGTGCACATCTCCTCTTCTACTAAACATTTATTTATTTAATCTGTATGAGTGCTTCGCCTGTATGTAAGTGCACTCATGCAGTGCCTGCAGAGGCCAGAAGAGGGCACTGGAACCTCTTGAACAGGAGTTACAGATAGTTGCAGCCACCTTATGGATACTGAGAAGCAGACTGGCTCCTCTAAAAGAGCAGCTAGTGCTCTTAACTGTTGAGCCATCTGTCCAGCCCCTCTACTAGATTTTCCATTGTTTGTATGCTTGCTTGCAGTGCTGGGTATTGAAGCCAGGAACTTGGAAATAAACCCCCAAACAGACAGAGGAAACCACATATATAAGCCATGTATGAGTAGTAAACAGCTTGGCCAAGATTTAAAGGCAAACAAGCACAAGGGGAAAATGTGCCTAGAAAGCAGGTCTCTGAGGAAACTGACATTTTTGATTATGAACCTAAGATCTAGTTAGGAGACTTGTTTGTAATCATAAAGTAGATCGAAGTAAGGATCCAGTTTTACTTCACTGTTTTTATTTATTTATTATAAAATCTAATTTTTCCTGTTTTATTTTTATTTTATGTGTGTGCATTGTGTGCATGTATGCAAGTGCACCCGTGCATGTCATGCAATGCCCACAGAGGACAGAAGAGGGTGTCGGATCCCCTGGAACTGTAGTTACAGACGGTTGTTACCTGCTGTAGGTGTTGCGTCTTCTGCAAGAACAGCCAGTGCTCTTAACTGCAGAGCCACCTCTCCAGCCCTATTTTTAAATGATTCTTTGGTAATTTCTCATGGATATGAATACAGTCTATTTAGATCATATCCACTGCCCCACTCCCTCTCTAAGGCCTCCCAGACCTACCCTTCGCACATCCCCTTCCCCCACTTTATGTCTTCTTCCCTCTTTTTTGGGTTTTAATAACCCACTGAGTCCAGTTAGTGCTGCCTATATGCACATGGGAGTAGGGTGTCATCCACTGGAGTGTCAAACTACCATGGATCACTCTGAAGAACACTGACACTCCCTCTCCCTCAGTGACCATCAGCTGCCAGTGGCTCCTCAGTGAAGGGGTGAGGCCTTGTGAGCTCTTTCCTTCCCTCTCCATGCTAGAGTGTTGACTAGCTTGATCTTGTGCAGACCACCACAGGTGCTGGGAATCCAAGTGCAACCATTCTGTCATGCCAGAAGATATTATTTCACAGCAATCTTCCTCAACATCTGGCTCTTACAACCTTTCTGTCCCCTTTTCCTCAATGTTTTCTGAACCTTATATGTTTGGGTGCGGGGAGTAGTGTGAGACAGATGTCCCATTAGATACTTAAACTATTTTAAAAATCATCATATAAAGTTACTTGTTAAGTACATTTCAATAGTATTTTATTATTATTATTATTATTATTATTATTATCATTTAGAGTAGTCTTGTTCTCTGTAATCTACTGATTTAAAAATGTTCAGTAATCAACTAATTAAAAATATTTTATTCAGTACTTTAGTGTCCTCCATTGGGAAGAATTATCCTGAAGATCCCATTTCTCTTATCTTCTATGGAAAATCAGGCATTTCATACATGGCAATGGGATTTTATGTATTAGTTGTGAGGCAGTATTCTATGTTTTATTTTTATTTTTTATTTGTTTTTGAGATTTCATAGTTGTATACAATAAAATATGATCATATCTATTCCTATTTCCCCCCCGTCCAGCTCCCCATCACATCCTCTTTAATTCTTGTTACTGATTTCTGCCACAAGAGGGCAAGGCAGTTCAGCCATTATTTAAGTTGTTAAGGAGCTTATAAAGATGAAGGCTGTTGACGGTTCCCAAAAATGCTCATAGACAATTAGGATAGCATAATACCCTTTACTCTGCATTAAGAGCTCGAGAATGGGAGCAAGGCAAAGGGCCCATTTAGTTATGTGTAGCAAGACTCTGCCTTTGAAATAACAAACTGTGCATTCTGTAAAGGAAAAGGGGATTTCTTTAGGAATTTACAGGTTGGGAAGATTTTTTAAGTAACTTTAAGAAAAGAATTTCCAAGACATTTTTTTTTGGTCTTTTTGAGATGGGGTCTCCCTGTAACTCATTGAGTAGACCTGGCTGGCCTTGAATTCACAGAGATCTACCTGCCTCTGCCTCCTGAGTGCTGGGACTAAAGGAATGTGCCACCATGACTGGCTCCAAGACATTTCTAAATAAGAGTGCACTGACAATATTTGGGGGCATATTTATTTGTTACAACATGATGGGGTGCAATGCGACTATTGTACTGAGGACAGAGATTGGTGCTGCTGGTAAATAGGCCCTGTGCACAGCTTGGCCCCATCACAAGGAGTTATCTGGTTCAAAATGTGAATAGTGCCACTGTTGAGAAGCCCTCATTCCTGTCAAATAATGCTTTTATAAGGATTCAAAGTGTTATCAAACTTTTTCTTCTTTAAACCAAAGGGAAAATTCTAACTTGACATATTGAAGAATTTCTTACTAGAGAGCCCAGTAGTGTCACACTTTTCTTCTTTAGTTCCCATTATTTTTAAATATTTTATTTATTATTTTACGAGTGTATTATTGCCTGCATGTATGTGAGTGCACCTGTGTTATGCAATGCCGCAGAGGTCAGAAAAGGACTTTGGATTCCCCTGGAACTGGAGTTAAGGATGGTTTGTAGCCATGTGGGTGCTGGGAATTGAACTTGGGTCCTCTGCAAGAGCCGTCAGTGCTCCTAACCGCTGAGCCGTCTTCCAGCATCTTTAGTTTCCATTTTAAATAATTTTTAGTTATTTTACAAAATGATGGGTTTCATTATGATAGTTTTCATACATACATGTCATTGTACTTGGATCATATTCATCCCCCATTGGTCCTCTCACTGGTCTCCCTCCCCCAGACCTTCCCCCTTCCTGCTTGGTCACACTTACTTATAGGTGGTCAGTTTTTTCTTGCTCTTTTCTCCCTTGTCCATCGCCCTGTACCCTGAACCTTGGTAGCACTGTTTTGTTTTTATTGTAAAATATTGCCTTCTCAGAATGTCTTCTTTGTCCTATACCAACAGCCTGGAAATCTTCTAGAGCCTGTTCTAAAATTAATCCCCTGCTCAGTGCCAGGGGACACAGCTGTCACAGTGTGCTCATCCCTCTGATTGTGTTTCTTTTGTTTATATTGTTTGCTGTTTTATTGCTCCATAGGCTCACTTACCATTTTTCAAATAGACACCTGATAGAACACAGCCAACCACATACTCTTTCAGAAAAGAAACAAGGCAAGTATGAAGGTGAGAGTGGCGAAGATTTTATATAGTTACACATTGTTATTATTATTTTAGAATTTTCTGTGTATGAGTGTATGCCTGCATGATGTGTGTCTGTGTTGTGCAGTGATGGAGGGGGTCAGAAGAGGGCATCGGATTCCCCTGGAACTGGAGTTACAGTCAATTGTTAGCCACCTTGTGGGTGCTGGGAATTGAACCTGGGTCCTCTGCAAAAGCAAGCTAGTGCTTTTAGTCCCTGAACCATCTCTCCAGTTCCTGTACATACATTTTATTGGTGATATTATTTCACATTTCATGGAGACTACCTTGCAACTTGGACACACATATCTAGTTGTTCATCATGATTAAAATCATACTAAATATTTTGGCAGGACTATTTCCCAGAAGGTACTGTGCATTATCAGTGGACCCCATCAGGAGACACATCATTTATTTTTTCCACTACAGGTAATGATGAGTTATATCACACAGTTAAGTATACACTGCCAGAACTTGCCACTGTAAATGCCACTTGGCCCTGTGACTGAAAGGAATCTTAGCAATGATTCCTTCAGACTAGGAATGGTGTATTCTCCAATAATTCTTAGCCAGTGGCTTTAAATTTTATTGATGGTAGGCTGGAGAGATGGCTCAATAGTTAAGAGCACTGGCTGCTCTTGCAGAGGACCCGGGTTCTGTTCCCAGCACCCACATGGCAGCCAACAACTGTAACTCCAGTTCCAGGGATCTCAATACCCTCTTCTGGCCTCCCTGGGCATTGCACACACAAGTGCACATCCATAGAGGCAGGCAGAACACTCATACACATAAATATAAATG